GCTGCTGCCGCCACTTCACTCTCTCACTCTCTCTCTCGATTGTGAAATGAATTGCAGTGAAGTTGCCCGTAAGTGAAGCTTCGCTGCGCCCTTTGTGCGCTGCGGCCAGAGAGAGAGTGTGTGGAAAGGAAGGGAGGGAAAATGAGAGAGAGCGATTGCTGTACTGGAATTCCAATTGCAGCTGCACAATTCTTCACTCTCATTCTTTACTTCTCATTCTCATTCTTTCAGTCAGTCAGTCTGCTCTGTCTCTCTGGAGAACCAGTGAAGCTGTACTGTACTGTACTCTGAGAGTTTCTCTCCATCAGTTTGGATGGCTTGCTGTCCCAATGTGACCGGTGCAAGTAAGGATTGAGTGAGTGTGTGTGTGTGTGTTTGTGCAATTGGCCAGTGGCCAATTTGTTCGTCTCTCGAGTCAGCAGCAGCAGCAGCAGCAGCAGCCGAATTGAACACCACTCACTCACTTTGCTTTCTTTCATTCTCTTGCTTTCTTTCTTTCTTTCTTTGTGTCGCGAGTGCTGATTTGAGGAGCTGCTGCTGCTGATGCCNGGCCAGTGGCCAATTTGTTCGTCTCTCGAGTCAGCAGCAGCAGCAGCAGCCGAATTGAACACCACTCACTCACTAACTCACTGTGCTTTCTTTCATTCTCTTGCTTTCTTTCTTTCTTTCTTTGTGTCGCGAGTGCTGATTTGAGGAGCTGCTGCTGCTGCTGCTGCTGTATCACACATTTGCCCTCAACTTTATTTATGTTCCTCTGTTCTTTCTTTCCCGTTTTTTCTTTTTTTCTTTTCCTCTTTTTTCCTTTTCTTACTACTTCTTCAATGAGCCCTTGACTTTGTCCCTTTTTTCCTTTCCCGTTTTTTCTTTTTTCCTCTTTCTTCCTCTGCGCCCAACTAACTAATTGCATTGTTCATAATTGTATTATCCATTGCATTATTAATTTATTGTGCTCATTATAATCGATGTGTGTGTGTCTGTCTGTCTGTGTCTTTCTCTTTCTGTTTTTCCTTTTCTTTCTTTTGCCTTGAGACTGTAGTCTCTAGTCTCTAGTCTTTAGTTAGTCTCCGACTGTCTCTGTCTCTGACCAGCAAAGATGTTCGCTTTCTCCGTTTTCTTTTCTTTTTCTTCAGTTCTCTATTCCCGTTTGCCATTAACTATTCAATTATAGCTGCCTAGTGCTGCTGCTGATGGCAACGGTTTTGGTGGTGGTGGTGGTGGTGCTTTTTAGTTTGTTGCCGTGATTGTAGAGTAGATCAGTGCTCTGTGTGTGTGTGGTTGTGTGTGTCAGTGCAGAAAAAAAGCAGTGAAAAGCCAGCTGATTTTCCCGTATAGAAAGAGAGAATAGAGTACTTTTGCTTGGTTTGAATTTATTGTACGGCAGACCTAGTGTGTGCTTGCCCTGCTTTTTTTGCAGGCACTTACTACCACTGCTCTCTTTTGGTCAGTGTTTCAAAGTCAAGTGCAAGAGCTGAGGAGGAGAAGCAATTTGTCTTTTACTAGTTTATGCATTTTTAATTATCGTTTTCAGCCTGTGTTGTGCAGCAGTCATTTCAGTCGCTTTTGCATATGTTTGCACAATGTTTCTGCCTCTGCTGCTGATGATGATGATTGCTGGTGATGATGTAGGCAGGCAGATACTACGTCAATCAGCGTTTTATTTGAAGAGTGAGCGAGCTTCTGAGCTTCAAACTCTGTCTCTTTGTCTAGGCGATTAATCAAAGCCTAATTAGCGAGGAGGAGGAGGAGGAGAAATGGAGCGCTGGCTAGCACTTCTACTATGTGGCGGCTTTATTTCCGTTTGCTTTGCGCGTCCAATGTGTGCAGTTTTATACATTTTGTACACACTCTGTGTGTTGTACAGACCACACTTGCACACAATCACTTGCTTTCTCTCTCACAAGCAGACAGGATCATTTGCAGTCAGAGTCGTCCTTGTCGTCCTTTTTCCTCTCCACTGTCTCCTCGTCTTCTACGACAACTGCAGCAGCAGCAGTAGCAGCAGCCATTTTACAATTTGCAAATTAAAACGAATTAAAAAGAGATTACTTTAGAAAAGAGAGCTTGCTTGCTGAATTTATTAGCAAGGACATAGAGAAAGAGAGACGATGCGGGTTGAAGAGAGGGTGAGAGCTGCGGAGATTTAGCCGTGCGGTGAAAAGTAAGCGAAAAGAGGAGGGGGGGGGTAATGGAAATGATGCCAATGTATAGCGAGAGGGAATAGCAGCAGCAGCAGCAGCAGCAGCAATGAAATTGCCTGCAAGGAGAGGGGAATTAATCGGATTTTTAGCAAAATTTAATTTTATTCTTTCTCTACCAAAGAAAGGCAATAAAGTTGCCCTCTTTTTTTCCCACTCGTTTCTGTCTTTCTTCCTTTTCCATCTTTGCCAATCGTCCACACAAATAGTAATCATAATAATTTCCATGCTTGTAATCGCTTTATAATTCGGTTATGCCAATTTTTTCTTGCTGCTGCTGCTGCTGCTGCGCAAAAGAGGAAAACATTACCATCATTATTGTATTGCATGTTATTCAATTGGCGAGAGAGACAGTGTAGCTAAATTGAAAATTAGCAAAAGAAAAATATTTAAATTCTGGGAATTTCGATTTTCTTTTTTTGTGCTTTAAATTTTTAAATATTCTGAAAAAACAGTTTTTTTGCTGTTAGTATAGACCAAATTTTGAGCCAGTCAATTTCTCGATTAATTACCTTTTTGTTTGGATTTTAACGCTTTTTTCCTTGCTAACTTTTTTACTTCTAGGCATAGAAGGAGATAAAGTTGTACCATTAGTCTTAGGCCTCTTAAAGCAAGTAAATTAATTTGTCTGCTTCTGATTTTTCTCTCTTAAACCACCACCATTCTTATAAAAAAAATAGTTACAGTTAGTTGCCTTTGCGGCTCAAATCCGTTTGATTTTTGCACGTTTTCGCAAAGTAATCTGTCGCCTAATTTAAAACGTCGGCAAATAGGCGGACTAAAAAATTAAATAAAACGCAACTGTTAACAGTGTGATGTGATGTGTGTGTTATATTTGGGCAGTAAATTGAGAGAGAGAGAAAGAGAAAAAAGAGAGGACAATCGTACAATTGTTCATTGTACGATATTGTCCTCATTTTGCTGCATCAAATGACCAAAGTGAATTGCGGCAGCAGTGATGGTGGCGGTGGTGGTGGTGGTCAGAATTTTAAGTAGTTGCAGTCTGAAGCTAAAACGAATGATTTTTCCCTCCCTAGATGAATATAGCAGTAATATAATAACACAATAAAAAAGTGGAAGATGAGCTTTTAGCAGTTCACTTTTTGTTTGGATTCTTTTTATGGGACATTCTTTGCTTTGCTTATGCCTTTTTTTCTACCGTTTCTCTGTTGGGCGGTTTAATAATAATGTAATATAATTTTTACAATTTAGTGGACAATGTTTCGCTACAGTTAAATTTTTTCTTCTATTCTCCTTCTTTGTTGCACTGCACTGGAGCAAACCACTACTTTGCTGCCTTGATTTTTCTGAGTTCTACACAGTGCCGTGTAATTTGAATATTAAAACGAAGAACTGGCAGCAATGCTCGATGCTCTCTTGATTGCTCGGGTGCCCATTCCATTTGTGTGTGTGTGTGTGTTTTGTGCCATCACCGCACAGTTTCCGACAGTCAGTTCTTAAAGCAGACTTGGCAGATGTAATCACACAAACACACTCACTCACTCACTCACAACTGCCGCTGCAGAACTCAATCACGAGAAATAGATCTCTCTCAGTGTCCTTAGTCAATATACTGACTGATATTGACTGCGCTCTACTCTGTCAAAACTCAGAGAATGGGGAGAGACTATCAATTTGGCGGAAGTTTGGCAGCAGCAGCAGCAGCAAAAGTGGGTATTTCCCCTGACTTGAAGAAGAAGAATAAGAGGAGGGCTTTGAAACTAAAAGCTTATTATGGGCATTTATTATAATTTTTGTGGCTCGTTGGCCCACCAAAGAATATTTCCGGCGCTGCCGAGCTTTGTGCACTTGAAGCAGCAGGAAAGGGGAAAGATTTCTCATTGAGCGAGTTTTGTTTGTTTGTTTATCTTTTGAGCCGCTGATTCTTCTTTTTGACGTTTTCTTCTTCAAGTCTTCACAGTTTGAACAGGGGCTTCACTTTTCTCAAGTTGTTTTTCTCCTCCTCCTTCTTTTAATTTAATTTTTTTGCTGTCATAATTTGCATACCCTTTTCATTTATTATCGCCGCCGCTGCCGCCGAATGTTGTGCGCAATATTAATGAGCTTTTTTCTTTTTTCCTTCTTCCTTGCAGAGAACTTCGGAACCTCGTGGAGCCGGTCCTCTCTCGGTACCGGTGGAACCGCCGAAAGCCGTGCTCCTCGTTGCGCTCCTCGGCGAGGCTGCACCAAAACCTTAATGGTGGTGATAAAGTTGACAGTGGCAGAAAAACAGCTCAAAGTGATGATCAGTCGACCTTTCTTCAGTCATCCTCCTCTTCATCTTTCTCCTCCTCATCCTCTTCAGCAGACGACGCCAGTCGCGAGGCGGATGAGCTGGAGTCGAGAATCGCCGCCAGCGACCTGTACCGGTGGATTGTGCCCGAGTTTGAGATACTCAATCTAGTGCCCGCGAAGAGACCTATGCAGAGGAGGAGAGGAAGAAAGCCGTCCTCAACACCGCCGCAACAGCAGCAAAAAGGCAAAAAGTCACTGGCGAAATTCAAGTCACCACCACCACTACCACCGCCGAGAGGTCGCCAATTACCGGGGCTGCTTTCCGGTGGATCCGCCCGATCATCATCACCGACGCCAAGGGGAGCGAGAAAACGAGGGAAAAAATGGCGGAGGAGAAGAAGGAGAAAGTGGGGTGGTGGCGGTGGGCAGAGCGAGTGGCGCCCGGTGGGGAACATCACGGTGGAGGCGGCCACGGTGAACACTATCCTCTACATCGGGGCGGACCAGGTGCCCAGCTACATCAGCCTGGACGGGCCGGAGTTTGCCCCGAACAGCCGGCCGACGCTGTACATGACCAACTCGGGGAAGCACCGCTTTCGCGTCGTCACCAACATTGCGCCGCCCTTTGTGATTGAGTCCACGAAGCTGGACAATAACACCTGCCTTACGGGCGACTTCTGCCTTAAGGTGAGTCGGTGGG